AAACTAAGATTTTAAATGGTAAATTCCACTGTCTGCTGGCTAATTTTCAACCATGTGCATCATCATCTAGTGATGAAATGCTGTAATTTTATGGTTAAAATAAACAACATGCATAATGGGAGATGTAGTTTATGGCTTTAATTTTCTAGTTATAGTTTGGATTCTTTCTATGTCTGAATATCTTTCATTTAAAATAGAAGCTTCAACATTTGACTTCATCTTTGTCTGTTAGTGGTTTTAAATTTTGGCTAGTTGCTGTCTGTGTCATTCATAGTTTTAGTTTATTTGATGTCTTTAGACAGGTCTGAACACTTCTACAGTCACACCATGTGCAGGGACAGAAGCTTACTTTGCATCTAAGACACAGTGTTATTTTTAACCCTATGCGTTAGGGAAAAAAATCAACCTATGTTAGTGATAGTACAGTGTGTGTGTGTACCATCATCTCTGGTCTAAATGATGACAGTTATTTGAGGAAAAAATTGAAATAATCAGATCTGATTTTGAAACTATAATTTTCACTCACAGTCTTAACGATGAATAAATCCGTGATTAATTCTCTCGTGTCGTTTCATCAGTCTGTAGCAGCTCATATTAACTCAAGCATAAATTTACAAATAATTAGTGTTGCAGGTAATGATGATGATGATGATGATGATGCATGTTGCCTCCGAAGGTGTTGTCTCCATAATCAGAATTTCATGTCACAAGATCATCATAAATTCCTTTTTTTTTTGTTTTTTTGTTTTTTTGTATAAAATGTTGTAGTGTTGGTACCAGATGTGTACATGAACCTGGGAGAGCCTCTGTGTGGGTATTTGCACTTGAAGAACCTGTTGCACTATAATGTTTTAGAAAACTTATGCCAACTTGTGAAAATTTTATTTTGTCTAAATTAACCATATAGTTCATATATATTTGATTACATCATTAACATTGCAGTATATATGTGCCCAAAAATGTCTTTCAGTAGATTTTGTTTTATTCCATCTTTAACGTAGACCTCTTCAGTGTGTATGATGCAGATTTGGTGTGAAACTTCAAGGTTTTTGCTGCGATTTGGTGGATAGTGTACACAACACCAGCCTTTGTTCTCTCTGAAACCAGGGGTTTCTGAAATATGGTCTGGCATTTTTGTATCCTAATGTCCGGCCTGCCCAGTCCACAGCGAGCCTGGATTTTTTTCTACCTCGGCCCTTGTTTTGTATGCTTTGAGCAGAGTGCTGCCTCGTTGCGGGCGGAGACCAATATAAAAATGGGCAAATCTTATATGCCATTTTATTTGCGACACCACAATAGACAACATCAAGCTCAAAGGAAAGGTACCAGAGACTCTATCGGACTGTCCAGCAGTGTGATGCCGAAGACAAGAGGTAGATGATGTCAAATCTGGCCAAGCAGCCCGGCCTCAGGTCTTAGGGTTCCTGAAATTGGGCTGGAATATGTAGTTTGAACCCATGCTGGGCTCGGTCGGACTGGCCCTTATGCTGCAAAAAGGGCAAAGGGGAGATTTTTGGGGGAACCCCCAACAGAGATGTAAAATAACTCACTGCTGTAAAATAGCACATGCACAGGGGCCTACATTACAATATATTGCAGATACTTTGTGGTACTCACCCTTTTACAGCATGCAGATGTGCCTCTGCCTGCTGGTGCGCTGGTGGCTCTCAATGTCTGGGGCTGGGTGCTTGGGCATGTGCCGGCTCGGTCTAGTGACTGCCTGGTGGGGCTTGGGTCCTCTGGCCCTGTCGGGTGGGGGGGGGGTGCACCCTGTGGATCCGGGTCTCTGTGTCCATGCCTGGTTCTGCTCCAGTGTGGCGGGGGCCTATGGTCGTAGCTGTTTGCCCTGTGGGTTCTGCATGTGGTTGCTGGTGCCTGATTGTGTGTATAGGTGTGTGTGTTTTGTGTATATTAGTTAACGAGGTTATAATTATTGAACGTAGGTGTGGATGTGTATATATGTGGGTATATGTTTATAAATGTGCATATGGGTATGTGTGCATACATCTGTTTAAGTTTGGTTGCTGGGTGTTTGTTCTCTTCATTTGCTGATGGTCAGATGTTGGGTGTGGTGTCCTGTGTGTTATTGGTGTTCATTTCACATATTGTATAATTTCATTCGGTTTCTCTCTTTATTGTTTTTATATTTCTGTTCTACTTTTTCTTTTTCTTCCTTACTATAGTATAAAAAAGCCACTGATGATGCAGAAATTAAGAAACTAACATTCAGTTTTGTTTTCTACTGAAGTTGCAAAAAAAACAGCATGCAGAAGTTAAACGAATAACATCCAAGGTCCAAAGAAACATTAGTTTTTCACCATTTTGGATGTAACTGTGATCTTGCTGACACTGCATGACCACTGCAGCTAAGCCCATCAGGCACATTCAAGATTAAAAATACTTTGTCACGAGTTGTAACAGAATAGATGATAGAGGCTCAGACACATTAAAACACCTAATAAAATAAGTCACACATAAAACCTTAGCCTGTCTTACCACATATAATCATACAATCATGAAATACTTAAAAAAAACTACCTACTCATAAAACAATATACTATCTATAATCATTTGCAAGTCTACAACCTTTTTCCTTTGTTTGAAAGGCTGGTTGTTGTGGGAATTAGGGTTGGGCAATATTGGCAAAAAAATTAATCACGATTAATTGTGGTATTTAGCCGATAACGATTAATTTGACGATTAATCCCCCAGAGTCCCTGGACACCCTTGTGTCCTGGTCACATGACCAATTTATGGGGATAAAATTGGCTCTTCGTAAAAATCTGTTCCAAATTGTGTCAAAATTACAGACTTCAGGCTATACATCAAACTTTAAATTGTGTTGATAGATAAAAAAAAAATTACACAACTTTTTTAATGTTGGTCATATTTGAATCAGAGAGGAACACCAAGCGGTTAGTCTGCCTGGTGGCATTAATCACATTAATCGTCAACTGCCAAAAAATAATCGATTAATGTTTTTCTGACGATTAATTGCACACGATACGATTATGCCCAACCCTAGTGGGAATAACAGAATTTATATGTGACCCATCACATCGAAATGAGGATTAAGTCAAATTTGTTCAAAATGACCTAATTACATTTTCAGATTCTTGGCTTCAAAAGCTACATTTTGATACCTGGATCATTCTGATATCATAATTAAATCCATAAATATGACTTAATTTGTCTTGTTGGTTACAATAAAATATAAATATTTGGTCTGAATCCTAATTTTATGTCATTTTATTGAGGAGTTTTTGATGTCCTTATAAAGAGGAAACCTCAAATCATAATTGAATATTGAGATTTCCCAGCTAAAAAGAAACACAGTTAATGCTAACTCACAGGGAAAATCTCAAAATTTTAAGGTGTTTTTCCTCAAAATATTTTTTTTGTTGCTACTGCTCAAAAAAGTGCTTCAAAATTTTGTTTTATGATTTAAATTTCTCAGTTCATTCAAATGATACATTGATAAGGCATTTATTCATTATTTTGAGAAAATGCAATTTTTGTTAACATTTTAGTCAAAACACTATATTTGCCTTTTTCTCCTTATACCACTTTTAGATTTAATCCTCGTTTCGATGTGATGGTTCTTGTGTAAACACTGTGAGGACAGTCATGTTTTTAACCAACAAAGTGAGGTCATCTTTGGGAAGTGAGGACATTTTCCCAGTCCTGTAATTTTTTTGCAGCTCTACTGTGCTCTACTAGTTAGCTTTAGATGTATGGTATGAATTAAGTTTTGGTTAAAGTTAGGGTTATGAGTAAACTAGTAATTGTTAGAGTTTTGGAAAAAGCCTGGGTTAGGCATAAATGTAGTTAAAAATGGTGAACGGACTGAACTTAGATCACACTTTATCAAGCCCCATGGGGACCCCAAAGCGCTTTACACTACAGTCATTCACACATTCACACCCTGATGGTGGTAAGCTACATTGTAGCCACAGCTGCCCTGGGGCACACTGACAGAGGCAGGGCTGTCATGCACCAGCATTGACCACCATCAATAGGCAAGGCGGTTCATGTATCTTGCCCAAGGACACAACGACTGCTGGAATGGGGGATCGAACGGGCAACCCTCCGGTTACAGGACAACTCCCCTAACCACTCTGCCACAGCTGCCCCAGAAATGAACAGAAGACAGTACAAAGTTCTCAGTTTAAAGGAAGTACAAGGATGTGTGTAGACATGTTTTTGCTACATTGTGGGGACCACTTCCCAGAAAACAGCCTTGCGGGGACTCAATGCTCCAAATGCACCAAAGCCTGGTCCCTATGGGTACAGATGCTGATTTTGGCTGTGGGGTTAGGTTTAGGGTAAAGGGTCATGGTTAGGCTATAGAAATGACTGGAAAATGAATGCAAGTCAATGCAAGGATCCTACAGGGATAGGAAAAACAACGTGTGTGTGTGTGTGTGTGTGTGTGTGTGTGTGTGTGTGTGTGTGTGTGTGTGTGTG